CTCAACTAGAAAGCTTTAAGTTGGAAGAGTTGACCAAGTTTGACCTCATAAAGGAGTCTTTATGGTTCTGTTAAGTCTGAATGGTGATTTTAGATTTAGGCGTATGCCCGTATTTGTATTTGAATATTTTTAGAAGGCTTTGGCTCTAATTGGCGAAGGTTGGCAATTTAAAGTTCTAGAAAGTTTGTAGGCTTGACCGAAAGTTGACTTTGATATTATCAGATTTAGGTTGTTGTTCTGGGAGTTAGAATAGTTTAGTTATGTCATTTGGAGCTTCTCAACAAAATTTGAGGTGATTCTGAATTGTTTAGACGTGTTCAACGTAAGTTTGGAATTTAGAAATTTGAAATAGTTCTTTAAGCTTGATTTGAGGTGAGATTCATGGTATTGATGCTATTGTGCGGGATGTGAGGCCTTGAGTAGGTCTGGGTTATTTTTTGGGACTTATTGGCATGTTCGGACAGGGTTCCGAGGGGGATCGGGTGAGTTCCGGGGTAGTTTCAGGCCATGTTGAATGATGATAGCATTGCTGGTTTTCTGCTAGCTACTAATGCCTCAGGTGTTCTTTGTGATCGCAAATATGTTTTCGCCATAGCATTGTGTAAGCTGGATATGAGAGTTTTTACTCTACGCATCCGTGATAGGAGGGCCGCATTCGCGGTGGTTCAGTGCTTAGCGCATCGTGTTCGCAGAGCTGGGTCGCGTTCGCTGTGGTTGGGCCATTAATGCTTCACAGTTGCGTCTATATGTCATGATAGCGATGGTGTGCAGGCTCGGCAGGCGTTGTTTAGTGCATTTGCGAGGGTAGTGTCGTGAACATGAAGGCTTATTTCGGGCGGTGCTGTTTTCTTCTACGCAATTGTGGAGGCTTTTCCGCGATCACGATGTGTATAACTGGGTAGAATAATTTAAATACTTTTTTTCGAGGGTTTTGGTTATTTTATCATATTGTGAGATTTGGAGCTCGGATTTGGGCGATTATTGTTGTAATTTTCACGATTTGGATTGGGGTAAGTATTTTTACTGGGATTTAATTATATTACGTGATTCCATCTTTGATTTTGGCATTTGAGTGGTGAATCTAAAAGAGAAATTGGGGTTTTTTATCATATCTTTTCTAAAGTGAATAATTGGGTTTGAACATCGTTTCGGGGTGGATTTGGATGAAACTAGCATGGTTGGACTCGTATTCGAATGGGTTGTCGGAATTTCTAAGTTTTATTGGTATTCGAGGAGCAAGCCCGAGTTGACATTTTTGGTTGACTTTGAGTATTTGATTAAAGATTCGACCATTATCGTTTGGGCTTATTTCCTATGGTATCATTGGATGTTTTTGAGTTTCTTTTGGCTAGTTTCTAGCCGTTTGAGTTCGATTTATACAGGATGGCACTTCTAGAGTGTTGATTTGGCTTGCTTGAGGTAAGTATCTTACCTAAACTTGGTTCAAGAAATATTTGCCTGAGTTATTTGTGATAGCTACATGCTATGGGTGGCGCACATATGTGGGGTTGAGCCCATGTGTGTGCATCGGGGTATCTTTTATACTCGGGGTAGTGTTTAGGCTATGGTATGACCTGGATTGATTGCTAAGCTTCATACTGTGATGATTATTATATTTATACCCCTGTTGTAAGCTATTTGAGCCATGTTTGAGGTTACATGAAGGTTAATCTCCTGATTGAACCTGATATTTTGCTACTTTCGTGATGTATTTGCTAGATTTGTGCTATGATAGCACACATTGCACATACATACAACTTAGCATATCACTTATATTAGTCCAAGAATATGAAATTTGATATTCATTGATCATGTACATGTATTCTTTTATATCTACTTTTTGTATGATATGGATTGGACTGGTAGCACGTGAACACATCATGCAAATTGTGATATTGAGCCCGTGACTATGCTAGGTGGATTGTGATATTGATCCTGTGATATCGAGGTTAGTGGTGATACTTGCTGAGTACATAGGGTCGGTTGTACTCATACTATACTTCTGCACCTTGTGTGCAGATATTGTAGCTGAGATGCTACGGATGGCGGGAGCAGTCAATGAAGATGTACCTGCTTTCTGGATATAGCTACTACTTGTCCTCCGGTAGCTTTAGATTTTTAATTTATTTATGTATGTTTCAAACAGATGTTGTATTTATTTCACACTAGCTTTGTAAATCTAAATCATAGTAGCTCGTGACTTGTACAACCAATCCTTGGGTTATTGTATGGAAATTCAATTATTTCTCTCATTGATTTCTTATTATTTTCATTAGAGTAGTGTTGGCTGTTGTTTGGCTTACCTATTGAGTTGGCTTAGGTGCCATCACGACTAGGTGGATTCTGGGTCGTGACAAATTGGTATCAGAGCTCTAGGTCCATAGGTTCTACAAGTCATGAGTAAGTTTTTAGTAGAGTCTTGCGGATCGGTATGATGATGCCCATGCCTATCTTTGAGAGGCTACAATGCATCTAGGAAACTTCCCATCTTTCTTTCTTATCATGAAACTTTGATTCATCTTGAAGCATATATCTTTGATTTCCATCCATCCACTTGTATTATGTTGAGCACTCAGTATCAGTTGTGCATCGATGACTTGTGATGTCATAAATAAGGTGCGAGATGTGTTCATTGTGTTATGGAGATAGGCCAGCCTGGAGGGTTAGTTGTGTGAGTATGTGCTTTTGGACTTATATGTTCGGTAGTGTCATTAGGAGTGGGATTGATGGCCAAGTGAGTGGTTGGATAGCCATATGATGAGTGCTATGTGACTGAGGACTATGCTTAGGTGATTTGGATGTGACAAGAAAAATTTTCTTAGGATGCGAAAGGACTATGGATGCCTGATTTACGTCTTGATGTGTTGTACAGTCTCGAGTTATGAGCGTGTTGAGGGATCTTTGATGTTGTTCATTTATGGAATGAAGTAGATTCTTATGTCTTGCATACGAGTTTAGACTTAGGAAGATTAAGTGATTGCATTTTGGTTATGACCATGATAGGGCATAAAGAGATACTAGTTTAAGGCTAAGCGGGTGGGTTATCTCCTGCTGGGTGGTCTATGGATGTGTGATCCTTGTGATATTTAAGTGAATAGTTTTCTTCCTACCTAGTGGGATGCGTATGTGCTGCAATTCGAGTTCGGATCACTTGAGGAAGTTCACACGAATGTCACGAGGATGGATATGTGCTTAGTAGAAGATTGAGGTATTCTATGGCTGGTTCTACATGCATATGAAGGATTTAGTTGAATTACAATACATGATTATGGCAGTTATGGAGTAAGGTTATTGTGGGTTATTGTATGCTATGTTCTACGGCTTCGATCCAAGTGGGGGAGGCTTCTATCGGTGATCAGAGTGCATGGTCATGTGCTATATTAGTTTTGGACTGAGGTATACTTTTTGATCAGTTATGACTTGAAGAGGTTGATTTCGAGGAAGACTCGAGCAAGGGAATTGCTGGATGCATTATGTGCTATACTTTATGGGGCAAAATGATAATCTTCGAATGATTCAGATATGTTAGTCATTGTGGATGTAATGTGCTATGAGAAGGGACTCACTCGGTTGCATTAAGATGGGGTTACTTCTTTAGGTGTCTTAATGCTAATGGGGCACAAGTTGTTCGGAACGTATTGGCGGTGCATTGGAGATTAGAGTAGAGTGGATGACTCTCGAGAAGGTCCTAATGAGTTCAAGATTCATATGTGGTAATTGAGGATTTCTCGGATTTGTATATGGCTAAGATCATAGATTTGCATTGGATGGTGCTGAGATTTGCGGTAGTCCTATATCATTAATGACTATACATTTTAGCATCATAGGTGTTAAATAAACAACTTCAAATTCATAGAAGGTCTCTTTAGAGTGGGTATCTCGGTTGTAGTACTGTTGAGTTCTTAAGAGGGAATACAGTGGCTTATGGGTCTTAAGACGATGTGGTTTCATGCTACGATTTCTTGGGGTGAGATTTGGGTTAAGGAACATAGTGTACTGGCAAGGATAAGTGTTAAATTGAAGTCAAGTCAAGGAGAATTTGAAGAAATGGTTCAGGTTGGTAGTGGTTTGGGTCAACATAGTAATAAAGGCGATCAGTTCTTAGAGTGGTGAAACTCTACAGTTTTTTTGTGGCAATACTCTTAGATTTGGCAATCTGCTTTTGTTCTTTAAAATCACACTCATAGTTTAAGTTAGATTTTCAAATAAAACCCAATATTGCGGAAGTGCAAATTAAGACATTCAAATCCACACATTAAAGATATACTACTACTAGCACCCATTCGCATAGCTCCTAGTGGAATTCGACCTCGACTCTGTTGGATATTATTATTGCATCGACCGTTTTCATATCCTCAAATAGAGGAGTGAAATTGGACGAGACCAATTTTTGGCGTCGTTGCCGGGGAGCTAAAAAACGGTGTTAGCTATATATTTAGGTGTGTTTTTGAAATATCTTCTTTTCCTTCCTTGTTACTAACATGTGAGTATTGTAGGTGCAATCATGGCAAACAACGAGCTCGAAGACAGAGCCGCAGGGGATGTGGACATCTATGATGATGCAATGGATGAGGTCCTTCTTGAACCACAAGCCAATAGACGAGGCTGACTGCCTCAAGACAATGTGCCCGTTCCACCCCCACCTCCACTACGAGCGGCTCCACCAAGTTGGTGGTGTTGCATCGGCTGGTCTACCTTTTTCATAGATTTGCCACCGCCGATACGCTGCGCCTGACAGTTAAAATGTAGTAAAGGCAACTCTGCTCACTTCCACAATACCCATGGTGCGGAGAATACGGTGACACTTTTCTAGAAATCCTTGGGCATCCTCTGAAGCTGTGCCACTGAAAGTAGGTGGGTTATACTTCTTAAACCTCTTAAGCCTTTTTTTTTTCCTGATGCCTCTGGCCTGACCTCAGGCTAAACCGGAATAACGGATTATACTGGTACTATACTCGGAACCTGACCAATGTGAACCTGCTGCTATGGAGTTACTCTGGCTATGGCACGTGCTCCTCATCGGCCTCTGCCTCTAGCGACATCCGCTCTGGGGTAACATTTTCAGCAACTACAGCTCATGTCCTCACCATCTGTGAGAGAATGGAATGATAAAAGTTCAAACTTCGAGATCAATGAACTCGCACGATGGAATGAAATAAGTGAGATTATCCTAATAGTTATGTAGCCTCTCGAAGATAAGTACAGACGTCTCCGTACCGATCCGCAAGACTCTACTAAACTCGCTTATGACTTGTAACAACTATGAACCTAGAGCTCTGATACCAACTTGTCACGACCCAATATCCCCCTCCGTTCGGTATCGTGATGGAACCTAGTCTTAGGGACTAGGTAAGCCTAATATTTACTGAGTAATCATAATAACAAAGGAAATCTAACAGTCTCGATATAGAAATCATTACAAAATTTACAATTTCCCAAAACCGGTAGTACGAGTCATAAGCTCTACAGAGTTTGCTATCACTTCTAAGTACAACTGTTCGGAAGTAAGTAAAAATAGTGTAAATACAAAATAGGAAGGTGACTCCGAAGCCTGCGAACGCAGCAGTAGGTTTACCTTGAGTCTCCTCAGCAAGGATCCGCACAGCTACTAACGATCGATACCTAGATCTGCACAAAAATGTGCAGAAGAGTAGCATGAGCACACCACAGTGGTGCCCAGTAAGTATCAAGACTAATCTCGGTGAAGTAGTGACGAGGACTAGTCAAAACACCCACTGGTCTAATAAACTGAACAAGTATAAGTATAGGGATGACAGAACATGACATCTATATGAGGACCCTGAGATATGGCTAACGACATAGCAACTGCAATAAGGAAGGAAAAATAGCAAGTAACAGCGGAACAGCAGAATAAGACATAGAAGAATGAACGAAAACACAACCCAAATCCAGATATCACAATACAGTAAATGCAAGTAGTAACTCAGCAGCTGCAATAGTTTTCATATCAGGTCTCAGCCAACAACCCCAATAAATTATTCAAAATCCTTCAAGTGTAAACTCTCACCCGTAAGTTTTTTTTTAAATTGAGGTCTTTAGAATATAATCCTTCCCAATAAGAAATTATTTTTGAAATATACTTCCTTCAAACATAGTTATTTCAAGATAAAACCTTTCAAATATAAACTTTTCAAATAATTAGCCTTCAAACATAGTTCTTTCAAGATAAATACTTTTCAAGTATAATCCTTTCACATAAATATCTTCAAATATAGTTTCTTTGAGATAAATACTTTTCAAATATAAACTTTTCAAATAATTAGCCTTCAAACATAGTTCTTTCAAGATAAATACTTTCCAAGTATAATCCTTTCACATAAATATCTTCAAATATAGTTTCTTTGAGATAAATACTTTTCAAATATAAACTTTTCAAATCATATCCTTCGAGTATAAGTCACCCTGTGACACCTGAGCATGGAAGATTTGCACCCCCGAACACAGATATAACCACAGTGGGGAATCTACCGCAGGTGCGAAAATACCAGAAGCCTGAAGACTTAGCAGCAACACAAATCAAACTTTTAATCCGTTAAGCACCCGAAACTCACCCGAGGCCCCCGGGACCTCAACCAAACATACCAACTAATCCTAAAACACCATATGAACTTAGTCGAGCCCTCAAATCATATCAACTAACGATGAAACTACGCATCACACCATGAATCGAACGTATAAATTTCAAATCTTTCAACTTCTAAAACCTGTGCCGAAACCTATCAAATCAACTCGGAATGACGTCAAATTTTGCAGGCAAGTCCCAAATAACATAACAGAGCTGTTCCAACTCTTGGAATCGCATTCCGACCCTGATATCAAAAAGTCCACTTCCTGTCCAACTTCCCAAAAATTCAATTTTCGGCATTTCAAGCTTAATTCCACTACAGACCTCCAAATAATTTTCAGGACACGCTCCTAAGTCCAAAATCACTATACGGAGTTATTGACATCATCAAAATTTCATTTCGGAGTCATTTGCTCAGAAGTCAACTCTCCGGTCAACTCTTTCTATTTAAGCTTCAAATTAAGGATTGTTCTTTTAATTAAATTCTGAATCTTTAGTAAATCAAACTTGACCACACCCGCGGGTCATAATACATATTGCGAAGCTGCTCGAGATCTTAAGTCACTAAACAGGGCGTAAATTCTTAAAACAACAAGTCGGGTCGTTACATTCTCTACCTCTTAAACAAACGTTCGTCCTCGAACGTTCTAAGAATTATTCTGAGATTACCAAATTTATGATTTTTACTTTTACATATATACTCATGGTTGATTCCACGCTACCGCATTTGAGTTAAGCGTGACAACATCATCTCATTTGATATTATTTCTTTTATCCATACTTGAAAAGTTTAAGGCCATTTTCTTACGTTCCAATATTTTCAAAAGGCCTGATTTCTCACAACAACGCACAATATTAGTCTCAACTGGCTATAGCAACTCATGCCTATGCACACATCAATTTTCTCGATAGTGTTGAAGTAATTCAAAACTTTCCTTGGGGTGTTGCATTATTCCCCGCTTAGGATCATTCGCCCTCAAACACATAACATATTTATCTCTTGTTTTGCAATTCTCAATCCTTCAAATTTTACTAACTCCCAAATTTTTCAGAAATTTCGGCAGAGTCTCCCCTGTAATTGGGCCTATCCACCTACTAGAGTAACACCGAACAACTCCTAACAACACATCCACAACCCAACAAAGCACCACAATATATATATCAATAACACTAATCTCCGCATTACAAACACTGCATTATCATAAATACTTTTCAAGTATAATCCTTTCACATAAATATCTTCAAATATAATTTTTTCGAGATAAATACTTTTCAAATATAAACTTTTCAAATAATTAGCCTTCAAACATAGTTCTTTCAAGATAAATACTTTTCAAGTATAACCCTTTCAAATAAATATCTTCAAATATAGTTCCTTCAAGATAAATACTTTTCAAATATAAACTTTTCAAATCATATCCTTCGAGTATAAGTCACCCTGTGACACCTGAGCATGGAAGATTTGCAGCCCCGAACACAGATATAACCACAGTGGGGAATCTACCGGAATACCGTCCTGTAATCCCTAAATAAATATGCAGTGTTGGGGGATCTCCCGGAATACCGTCCCGTAATCCCAAAATAAATACGCAGTGCTGGGGGATCTCCCGAAATACGTCTGTAGTCCCAATTTAAATATGCAGTGCAGGGGGGTCTTCCGGAATACGTCTGTAGTCCCAAAGTAAATATGCAAGACATGGGGATCTCCCGGAATACGTCCGTAGTCCTAATTTAAATATGTAGTGCAGGGGGATCTCCCGGAATACGTTCGTAGTCCTAAAGTAAATATGCAAGACAAGGGGATCTCCCGGAATACGTCCGTAGTCCCAATTTAAATATGCAGTGCTGAGGGATCTCCCGGAATACGTCTGTAGTCCCAATTTAAATATACAGCGCAAACAACAGAGATAACAACTATAACACGACAGAAACCTCGTAAATCACCACAACGAGTACAAAAACAACAATGACATAAATGCAAAGTACGGCGAGCAAATCAACTCAAGAATTTAACTCACAAGAACGGTATAACTCATTCACAAGAAATAACCACAGTAAAGAATGTTAGGCACAAGGAGAACATCATAACAAGAAAAAACAAAACAAAAATGTAGCAACGATTCCACAATATTCAAGTCAACAATAAGAAGCCAACACGAGTCAAATAGTTCTAAATAATGGCAAGTCAACTAAGATATAGGTTATCTAAACTCCTTTTGAGGTTGAGCAATTACGAGGAAAATTCAACAATTCAAATAAGGATAAGCAACGGAAGATAATCACAACTCCAATTAAGACTAAACAATTATAAGGTGAGAAAACAATGATTTCAATTAAAGATAAGCAGTTATGAAAAAAAAATATAGCACGACGATAGAAGAGGTAAAATCTTTGGTTAAGTCGAATAAGGGTCAAATAGACAGTAAGAGTGAATCCTAAAGCAATTATCTCTAGTCAAAGTATGTAGAGGTGAAACTAGCAAATAGGAATTCAAAAACAATATCATACACAGTGAATATAAGGACATAAGAACCCTAAAAGGCCAACTTTCCACAAATAGGTCCGAGCACGCACTCGTCACCTCGCGTACACAGACTTCAATCAACATAGATAACTCAAATCCTAAGGGGTAGTTCCCCCACACAAGGTTAGGCAAGATACTTACCTCGAGTCAAGCTTAATAAATCCGTAAGAATGCCCTTTCCACGAATATCCGGCTCTGGATGGCCCAAATTTAGCCAAAAGAAATTATATATCATAATTACAACAATAATAGACTCATCTAATTAACGAAATCAACATTTTAACAAAAATTTTGAAATTAACTCAACATCGCCCGTGGGGCCCACTTCTCGGAATCGGGTAAAATCACAAAATATGAACACCTATTCACTCACGAGTCCAACCATATAAGAATTACTCAAATCCGACCACAAATCCCCTTTCAAAACTCAAAATCTTCATTGTAGTAGTTCTAATTTTTCCCAATTTCAACCCCAAAAATCCGAAACTAAATGGAGAAAACAACTATAGATTAATGGAATACAACCAAAAACGAGTTAGGAATCATTACCCCAAAGTTTCCTCTAAAAATCCCTTGAAAAATCGCCAAATTTCGAGCTCTCAAGTCCAAAAACGAAGAATGAAACCAAACCCTTGGATTTCTCTTTTCTGACTAGGCGTGACCGCACCTGCGCATAATTAGCCGCATTTGCGCGACTGCAGGTGTGCACGTCCAAGCTGCACCTGCGCTTCCTCTCGCTTTTGCGCGCCAAAATCCGCATCTGCGGGCATCACAGATGCGGAATTTTCCTCGCACCTGCGACCCCTGGCGCTCCTCCACCTTTCCGCTTCTGTGCTTGCCTCTCCGCATGTGCGCTCTTGCACCTGCGGCCTCTTCACCGCAGGTGCGAAAATACCAGAAGCCTGAAGACTTAGCAACAACACAAATCAAACTTTTAATCTGTTAAGCACCCAAAACTCACTCGAGTCCCCCGAGACCTCAACCAAACATATCAACCAATCGTAAAACACCATACGAACTTTGTCGAGCCCTCAAATCACATCAACTAACGATGAAACTGCGCATCGCACCATGAATCGAACTTATAAATTTCAAATCTTTCAACTTCTAAAACCTGTGCCGAAACCTATCAAATCAACCCGGAATGACGTCAAATTTTGCAGGCAAGTCCTAAATAACATAACAGAGCTGTTCCAACTCTTGGAATCGCATTCCGACCCCGATATCAAAAAGTCCACTTCCGGTCCAACTTCCCAAAAATTTAATTTTCGGCATTTCAAGCTTAATTCCACTACGGACCTCCAAATAATTTTTCGGACACGCTCCTAAGTCCAAAATCACCATACGGAGCTATTGACATCATCAAAATTTCATTCCGGAGTCGTTTGCTCAGAAGTCAACTCTTCGGTCAACTCTTTTTATTTAAGCTTCAAATTAAGGATTGGTCTTTTAATTAAATTCCGAATCTTTAGTAAATCAAACTCGACCACACCTGCGGGTCATAATACATATTGTGAAGCTTCTCGAGACCTTAAGTCACTAAACGGGGCGTAAATTCTTAAAACGACAAGTCGGATCGTTACAATAATTGGAGAGTATAACTGATTTTTAACCAAGAAAAAGTAGTGAGGAATGCAGACTTTATTCTGACAAATACCTGTATTAGGTAATTTATACTCTATGTCTAAAGCATGTCCTGAAGCAGACTTTACCATATGAGTAGTTTTCTTAAAATATTTAGTAGGTACTAAACCTTCTTGTATGCAACTAACATCAGCTCCACTATCAATCATAGCAATATTTATAATAGAAAAACTATTATCAATTAAAATAGTACATTTAATATACCATCTATGAGCAGTAACAATTTGCATCATTCCCAAAAACATATCATGTTGAGAATCAATCTTAATAGGGTTTTCTTCAATATCATTTTTAGAAATACCTTTGTTTTTATCATCAGATTTCTCAGCTGGATTGATTTTCTCAATATGAGTAATCCTATGATCACAAATCATTTGATTTTGTTTAAGAGATTTGATCTCCCTTTTCAAGTTTTCAACTTCAACTTTTAAATCATCAAAAGAAGAATTTCTTGTTGGAGTTGTACTTTTATTTAAAAGACGGTTATTAATCTCTAACAAAGAATAAGGCGTAGAATATTCAAATTCCTTTTTTGAGTTTTCAAAAGGTTTTGAAGAACTTGAACTAGTATTTGCAGCCAAATTTATAATTTTTTCACGAAGTTTATCATCAGTAACTTCTTTTAAAAGTTCTATTACATTATCAGATGTAATAGTTTTGATGTTCAAATCTTGGAACTGAGATTGCAATTTATAAAATTCATCATCATCACAGGTACATGTATTACCTCTGCAAGCTGTACAAGTATTATCAATATTTTTATCATTATAAGATAAATCTAGTAAATCTACTTCAACCTCAGATTCTGACTCAGAATAGTAATAATCAGATTCTGATCCAGAAGTGTATAACAAACCATAAACCTTATCACGTAATTCATCGTCTAGTCCTAAGGTTTTTAGCTTTTGAAGCTTACAATTTGGAGCTATATGGCCAAATTTTCCACATTTATAACACTTAATATCAGCAAGATCTCGCTTAGATCTATTTTTCGTAAATCTAGTAGACTTGCGATGGGCTTTCTTAGCATCACGCTCTTTTTTGGATCTATATCTTGATCTCTTTTTCTTATAAGGACTGTCTGGGTTAGGGTATCTATGATACTTGTGTTTCTTCTTCTTATGAGTAGAAGTCTCGGGTAATCTGAACTGGGTTAAAAAGTCTCCTAATTGAGATTTCTCTTTAAGCTTATCCATCTTAAGCTGTCTGGACAATTTTAACTCATTGCACAGGTTTAACCCTTCCTGTGTTCATATTCCTATTAATTTACCATAGGTATAATCCTTGTACGGAATTTCACCGTAGCTACCTCTTAGAGTTTTTCTAACTCTTTCAGCAAATAAGGAGGGAAGGCCATCTATAAACTTAGTTTTCCAATGGTCGTACTTATTCTCGGGTAATTCCATAACTCTACTCATAAAGGTATCTTTATACCATCTGAATTCACCTAAGGTCCTACATCTAAGACCATTAAGTAGAGTACGAATTGTCTCATGCTGATTGGTAAATCTACCATTGAAATGCTCTAAAATAGTAAGAACAAGGGTATAAACAACATCCTCTCTATTTTTCACAAGAGCCATGCCTAAGTTATCAACCCCTTCGTCAGTAGCTATTGCATTAATAACCATTCCCTTTTCTTTAATAGTCAAATAATTATCCCACCAGCCACGGAGCTGGCGAGTAAAACCTGCAATAATCATTTTGCAAATAGTTCTATCTGTATTTTCACATTTTTACATATAGTTGCATACATAAGTGTCACGACCCAAACTAACCCCTGTCGTGAAGGCGCCTATTGTGGAACTAGGCAAACCGACTCATTTCCAAAACAAACCGATATTTTTCATTTCAAAGATAATTTCAAGGTTATTTAACATAAAACCTCCATTTAAAGAGTTCAAATCAAAGAAAAATAGAAGTGCGGAAAAGAAAAGCCCGACATCGGGGTGTCATTAGTCATGAGCATATACTACAATCTGTCTAACAATATCAAGGCTAACTCAGCCCGAAAAATATCTAAATACAACTAGAGAAAGATAAGAGGGAGAAGAGCAGGGGCTGCGATTGCCAAACAGCTACCTTGCTATCTCCAAGAAACACTGCAACCAGGACACTCAGTAACCGCTACCGTGTCCAGCTATACCTGAATCTGCACACAAGGTGCAGGGAGTAACGTGAGTATGCCAACTCAGTAAGTAACAACAATAAATAATGACTGAGCAGTAGTTACGAGCAATAAAGCATATAACGTTCATCAGGAAATCTCAGTAAAATACCACATGCTTTTAAAATCAGGATTTGAATCAAACATCTCGTTTAAACCAGTTCCAGTAAAAAAAAATCATTTGAAGATATTTTTCCAACAGTTTTTCCAACAAAGGCTCAATGCAAAGGTGAGCAAAAATGATGAAATCATAAACAGCCCCTCGGGAAAAAACATCACTCATATACAGCCCCTCGGGCAAACCTCACAATCACTCGTGCCACTCGGGCATACCTCACAATCACTCTTGCCACTCAGGCATACCTCACAATCACTCTTCCCACTCGGGCATACCTCACAATCACTCATTCCTCCCAATCACTCAGCACTCGGCACTCGCACTCAGTAGGTACCTGCGCTCACTAGGAGTGTGTACCGACTCCGGAGGGGCTCCTTCAGCCCAAGCGCTATAATCTGCACGAATAACTCACGTGCGATAAAAATAAAGTATGCTACATGCGAGCAGCCCCGATCCACACTCATCCTCACAAATCAGGCCCCCGGCCTCACTCAGTCATAAAGTATGCTGCAGGTGGGCAGCCCCAATCCACACTCATCCTCACAAATCAGGACACTCGGGCATTTCAGTAAAACAGGGCATTCAGCCCAAAACATTTATATGCATCAAAATAGAGTCATAAAACTGAGTTATGCGGTAAACAAGTATAAACATGACTGAGTATAGATTTTCAATCAAAAACAGTGAGAAGATAGTAAGAAACAGCCCCTAAGGGTCCAAATAGCATTGGCGCAAGGCCCAAACATTGCATTCAGCCCAATTTACAGAAAATCTTTCTGAAACATATAAGTATCAATGGTTTCAACAAAGTATGCAACTTTACAGTTGCTACGGGACGGACCAAGTCACAAATCCCCAATAGTACACGCCCACACGCCCATCACCTAGCATGTGCGTCACTTCAAAATAGTAGAATGATACGAAATTCGGGGTTTCATACCCTCAGGACTAGATTTACAATCGTTACTTACCTCAAACCGGTCAAATCTCTATCCTGCAATGATCTTGCCTCTGGACTCGGCCTCTAAATGCTCCAAATCTATTCACAATCAGTATAATACCATCAATATATGCTAATGGAATGAATTCCACAAGAAAAGCTTCAAAATTATACCAAAACCCGAAGGTCCACGTCTCGAAATCCGACAAAATTACAAAACTAGAAAGTTCATTCATCAAAATCTGACATCGTTTGGTCCTTCAAATCCTTAAATTACTCTCCAAAAATTACAAGCGCTAATCCCTCATTTCCATAAATTACCATGATTAAAACAATAGGAAATCACCATATGTACAAGTATTAGGGCTCAAGTAACTTACCTCAACGAAATCCCCTTGATTCCCTCTTCAAACCTCTCCCAAAAGCTCCAAAAACCGAGTTGAAATTGTGAGGAATGACCAAAATTCGTGTAGGGTTCTATTTATGGTTTCTGCCCAGGTTTTTCGCACTTGCGGCCATTTTCTCGCACCTGCACTTCCGCATCTGTGCCCCGTGATGCATTTAAAGAAGAGCCCTAACAGGTGGAGCACGGGACGAACTCTGAACTGGAAGGGCACTAAGTGATGAGTGGCCCTGATAAGAACTGTGAGATCCATGGCCAGATGTGTACCCCGATGAAATGGCCGAGCTGACTAAGCATGTCTGAAATGACGACGTCACCGTGCTGGAACTGACCCCCAAAAGGAGCAACGCTAAATCCACCCTGACCACGAGGCCTCTTGGCCTCCCGCTCAACCCTCTCCTGACTGCGAACCATCTCAATCTGCCGAACAATGTCGACAACCTCATCAAAGGTAGCACCCAAAACCCGTTCCCTGGTCATGAGAAACTGTATCTGATAAGTGAGGCCATCAATAAACCTCATGATCCTCTCTCTATCCGTGGGAACCAACCAGATAGCATGACGGGCCAACTCAGAGAATCTCATCTCATACTGCATCACAAACATATCACCCTGGCGGAGCCGCTCAAACTGTCTACGCAACTCTTCTCTGCGGGATCGAGGCACAAACTTCTCCAAAAAGACAACGGAGAACTGCTGCCAAGTAAGGGTTGCTGCGCTAATAGGCCTACGCCTCTCGTAAGTCTCCCACCATCTGAGTGTAGCCCCAGAAAACTAAAAGGTAGTGAATGAGACCCCACAAGTCTCCAAAATACTAGCAGTACGGAGTATCCTCTGACACCTGTCCAAAATGTCCTGAGCATCCTCTCTCTCTGTACCACTGAAAGGTGGTGGCTGAAGTCTCCCAAACCTTTCCAACCTGCAGTGATCATCCTTAGGCATAGCAGGAACCACATAATCTTGAGCAACAGTAACCGGCTGGGCTGGTGGTGCCTCTGGTGTCTAAAGACCCTGAATAACCTGCTCGGGTGTGCGAGCGACGAGAGTTTGAGTGCCTCCCCTTGCCTGAGAAGTGGTTGCGGACGTAGAAATATAGACCGCCTGAGCAAGGCCAGTACACGCTATCAGAATCTGAGCTAGGGCCTCCTGAAGGCCTGGAATCACAATAGGCACAGGTGTGGTCTGAGCTGGTGCATCAACAACTGGAACTTGGTCCTAATCTGGGACAACCAGTAGATCTGTAAGTACTGCCCCAACTGTTGTACGGGCTGTACCTCTTCCCCTACCACGGCCTCTACCGCGGCCTCGGCCTCTCGCGGCCCTGGCTGGTGGTGCTGGTGGCTGGCCCTCCTGACCGGTAGTACGAGTCCTCACCATCTGTGAGAGAATGAAACAAAAGATGTATAATTACTAGAATCAACAAATTCACACGACAAGAATCCAAGAATGTGAAGTTTCCTAAAGGTTCTGCAGCCTCATGAAGATAAGTACAGACGTCTCCCTACCGATCCGCAAGACTCTACTAAACCCGCTCATGACTCGTGAGACCTATGTAACCTAGGCTCTGATACCAATCTATCACGACCCAAACTAACCCCTGTCGTGATGGCGCCTATCATGGAACTAGGCAAGCTGACTCATTTCCAAAACAAACCGATATTTTTTATTTCAAAGATAATTTCAAGGTTATTTAACATAAAACCTCCATTTAAAGAGTTCAAATCAAAGAAAAATAGAAGTGCGGAAAAGAAAAGCCCGACATCGGGGTGTCACTAGTCATGAGCATATATTACAATATGTCTAACAATATCAAGGCTAACTCAGTCCGAAAAATAGCTAAATACAACTAGAGGAAGATAAGAGGGAGAAGAGCAGGGGCTGCGATCGCCAAACAGCTACCTTGCTATCTCCAAGAAAATCTACAACCAGAACACTCAGTAACTGCTGCCGTGTCCAGCTATACCTGAATCTGCGCACAAGGTGCAGGGAGTAACGTGAGTACGCCAACTCAGTAAGTAATAATAATAAATAAAGACTGAGCAGTAGTGACGAGCAATAAAGCATATAACGTTCATCAAGAAATCTCAGTAAAATACCACATGCTTTTAAAATCAGGATTTGAATCAAACATCTCGTTTAAACCCAGTTCCAGTAAAAAAAAATCATTTAAAGAAGAGCCCTAACAGGTGGAGCACGAGACGGACTCTAAACTGGAAGGGCACTAAGTGATGAGTGGCCCTGATGAGAACTATGAGAACCATGTCCAGATGATGCACCCAGATGAAATGGCCGAGCTGACTGAGCCTTTCTAAAATGATGACATCACCATGCTGGAACTGACCCCCAAAAGGAGCACCACTGAATCCACCCTGACCACGAGGCTTCTTGGCCTCCCGCTCAACCCTCTCCTGACCACGAACCATCTCAATCTGCCGAGCAATGTCGACAACCTCATCAAAGGTAGCACCCAAAAC